CAAACAGAAATTAAAACATTAAACCAAAATCCTTTTTTAGCTACTGATTTCAACAATTTTCCCATGCTGAAATTGATGGGTACTACCAATAACAATTAAATTGACTAATTTTAAATCTTTCTTCTAGTTTTTTTCCTCTGACAGGGGAATAAATGAATAGCAAAATGACTTAGAATTAGCAGTAGAGGAAAAAGTCGAAATAAGAAGAATCTATAATGTGAAAAACCAAAGCTTTTATCCTCAGATAGCTGAAAAATCTTCCCTAAAGCTGCAATGTAATTTTTCAGGGCCTAAAATCTAAATGTAAAATTCCACCTCCCCCCCCCCACCAAAAATATTATAAATTATATAAAACATTTGATAGCATTTAGAAATTCCAATGATCAGTTAGCATATACTATAGTCCCAAATTAATTTGATGTTGCATTTAAATAAGAAATAAAGGAGGGGGATAGGGGAAGAGGAATGGTATAGCCAAAACAACTGAATTTTTAACATATATTTTCTGTAAAGCTAGTTAAAAACAAACACTATAGCTCATGTAATTTTTAGGTGTTAAGTGTAGGGTTGGAAATAATTAAAATGTTACCTTTGCCAAGTAATTCCCAATGTATCCTCACTGGTACTGGGGTATAAATGCCTGCCGTTTTGATTCATGGTCCAGTCACAAATCCTCAGCTGTCAATTGAAACCTAGCAGTCAGATATGGATCGAGCAGTACTACAGTTTTTAGTATTTAAATGAACACATGCAAACTAGTACTGTACATGGCATTAACCTTACTTTCCCAAGAGGCAACTTAAAGAAAAAAAAAAAAAAGCAGAAAGAAAATCTTATTCTGAAAGCAAAATTCCTAGACTCTTTTTTAGAAAAAGCTATTGCAATATGCTTCTCTATTAATTAAAGCATACAAGAGAAACAAGTGCTTAGAACATAACAATTAGCCATTATTAGAGTACAAATTGAGCTGAAATAAAAGCAAACGTTAATGTTCAATAGAGAGATATATTTTAGAAAGAAAATAAAAATGCTTTTTTTTATATGCAACATACCAAATAATCTGCACTGAGTAAAATAATCAATAACTTTAAGCATGCAGTTTGCAAAACATAGATACATGCAGTTTAGAGAAAGGCCCCACCTTATGTTTGCCCTAATTTGTGTTTAGAGTGTTTAGAAGCATCAACGTAATCAGTTTTAGATATTTACTAATTTTGTTTTATGTAAAGTGGCAGTGTTTAGAAAGAGTTGATAAGAATTTCTACTTTTATTTTAAACTCAGAGTAATGGCATTTAAAATACTTTACTACATCTGAGGAAAGTGAGGAATGCACTGAATACAAGCTGAAACAAATTCTTCCCAGATCTCCGAATCATCAGCTCTGCCCTTCAGAGATTGTTCGAGTAACCCTATCCCGCTCTGTTTGGTTAACAGCTGCCCTACAGTGCTAGCAGATTTATTGAAAAGATATATTGCTTATTTTTATTCTTAAGAAAGTAAACTTATCTGGTTTTGGGGGGGAAACACACACTAGAAAATCATGATTTTTAACCTTTAGATAGCCACGCTGTAAATTAACTGTATCTTGCATTGAAAAGATGACGCCTTCACAGCCATCCACTAAGCCTTGTTTGCTGCTTTTCAGTAGAATTTCTAGATGATGATAGGAGCCAAAGTACCCTTAGACTTAGGATAAACTATCTTAAAGCTTTCTGATAATGTTATGGTTTTAAAAACAACTGGCTACTAAAAATCTTTGCTTTTTCTTTTAGACTCTCAAGCTTCTGCACACTCTAACAGTGATTCAAAAGTTTTAGAAAGATAGCTTTTGATCATTTTTCTATAGATCTATGAGGTTCCAAAACTACCACTTAAAATTTCCAAAACATGTATTTTAATTATATGGCTATTTCAGGTAAAAGTGACTTATAATTTAAAGTGAAAAAGCTCCCTTCATGTAGATAGGTAGACAGATAAATAGATTGCTGAAGATGTAGATTCTGCTCAGCATATATGTCATAAAGAAGTTTTAAATCAACAAATAATTCAAATTGGAAAGAAAAACATCTTAAATGGACCAAAATACTTACATAAAAGAGAAAATGTCTACCTAATTTGCTTTAAATCAAACAGATGATATACTTTTACTATTTTAAAGAAGTTAACTTGTTCAATGTGGTAAGAAACAATATGGCATGATATTTAAAAAGTTCTCAAAATGGGTCATCTAATCAGAAATTTAATGAGATGGGGCAAAGTGTTTTGTGGTTTTCTCTTACAGTAACAGAGTAAACTAGTTGCCTATTTCAACATACAAGTTTTAAAAGTACTGTGAAAACAATCTAAAAACCATTCAGGAAATTTGGCTTTGTATAAAGATTACCTTATTGATGAATCACTTACTGCGTCTGCTCTAGTCAATGAAAATGTTAGTTTTGAATCAATTAAACATTCTCAAAAAGGAAGAGGTATAATTTAGGCATAGCATGTATTAATTATGTTAATAATTAACTTCAGGTTGCTTTCTATGGGGCTCTCAGCTTTACGTTTTCAGAGAGAGAGAGTATAATTTCACAAAGCCAGGGGAACAGAAGTATCACTCACTGATTGGTTTATTGTCCCAGATAACTGCAGGAATTCCTTGGAAGGAGTTCCCAGACAACTCCTTGGAAGGACACATTGTAAAGTGGTTAGTTTAGTCTTGTTAATGTTGCTAATTTTTTGTTTGTTTGTTTTACCACCCCTAAAAATGCCCAATAGACTATCTTTGACCACACACCGAACACTTAAAATTAACATATTTTTGGACTTTTCTTTACTAAGAGTAGTCTCAAAGAAGTCAAGCCGGAATATAGCTATTCATTTTCATCTATATTTAAGATGTATGCAATAGAAATACTTTCTCCCAAACAGAAAAATATGCTTAAACACATACAAAATAATCAATGAATACATTTAGCAATAATTCAATGTGAGAGAAATTAGCAGGATATTAATTAGTACTGAATTAATTTTCTTTCATTCTCAAAATGTAAAATATAATTTAAATTTATGTCCCTCTTTAGACTGTTTACTGCCATCATCAACATTTCTAAAAGTTTCCGAGGAAACACATTTACGCATGTTTGTATGTTATAACTTACTTTAGCTAGGTTATTTAAGCAAGAGCCTCTCTCTTCATGTTGTTTTTTTAAAATTATTAAACTTTCTTTGGCATAAAGCATCTTTCAATTAATAAATGTCCTGAGAAAGTGAAGTTTTAAAGGTGATGGTGTGCATGGGAGAAACAATTAAATAATGAAAACAGAAATCAACTAATCACAAAACATTTCCATGATAGTGAGTCCTAAGAAAATCAATTCTTAAGAATCTTATTTGACCAGGATAGTCCTGACCCAGCAAATTTTGAACAGACTCTAGATATTGAAAAGTTAATACTATGTATATTTCAGCTTCTGGGGTCATGTTAAGTATTCTTGGTATTAGTATAATGCAGTGTTCCTAACAAAAAATAATTTTATAGTAGGCTTTAAATAAGTTTAAAATAATAGGTGATAATCTTTTTTGAGGTTGGATGGTGATCCCTCAGTTTCTGTCCTGTGAGAAAATCAGTGTTAGCTAATTCAGCTGTCAATTTTTTAAATTAAATTTTAAAACTTTAAGTAGCACATAAATACATGCCTTTCATTTATATAAAATTCTCCTAGGTTAAAAGCTTTAACAACATGCTAATGATTTTTACAAGTATATTCCCTTAAGAAATAGGAAATTACTTTCCCTGCAATAGTAATCAAATTTAAAATACCAAGTGCAGATTACTTTAGAAATTTAGTCTATTAAAGTTATGTGTTTGTATGTGGAGGTGGGTAGTAATTCTTATTTTTGAAACAATATAGACTCTAAAACAGACCTGATCATATGCATATCCTTACAAAAATGCACACTCATATAAATCACTTTATTCTTTAATTTATATGCATCTACAAATATGACATTCAATTGTCTAGAAAATGTCTGAAAGCAAATAAAAGCTGAAATAAGAAAGTAAGATTCTCCTCCAAAAATGCTATTGGTAAAGAGGTAAAGCTGAAATAGTTCAAACAACTAAGAAAGAAATGAAGGTGAAGTTTTCACCGCGTATGTTCTTAGGGTGGAGTTCCATAAAGTCTCTGGAAGGAGAACATTGTTCCTGGCCCAACTCAAATGAGATTGTTTCAGGAAAACAAGGATGGGGGCCATCTGGTTTCCTTCAAATATCTGCATTGAAGGAAACACCTCGGATTTGGATCATTATCCTTTCCTATACCACACCCAAATAATTATGTAAGTAGCTGACAGCCATAAAGAATCAATATTGCTTTTGATTTCAGAATGAGGGTTTGTTTATTCAAATGAGGGTCCTCCATTGTTATTAACTGGGGCTTTTGTTAAGTACATAACAATTAGCTTTGGGAACAAAAGAAAGAAGGTAGGCAAAATGTTCTACTTTGCTAGACTCAACAAATAGGCTATGTACTAACAGTCACTCATGATAACAACAGCTCTCAATTGAATCAATAAACCACTAATCTATAAACAGAATAATCAACAGATAAATTTATCTTTCCACTTTTTTTTAAAGTTTACAGTGACCCTCAGGGGCACATCTTGAAAGATATGTTCTATGTTCTTTTGGGTTTCTTCATTTTTCCAGATGCCACAGAAACAGATTTTTAGGGGGTGCCTTTTTTTGGAGGGGGGGCTCTTAAAAAGATTAACACTCCAATATTCATACTTTCCTCTTAGTAGAGGAAGAATTTTGGTAAGAGATTTAGTAGAATTTTATTTTATTGCTATCATTAATTAGCTGCATGGAGCAAATAAAATGACAAATATTCATTGAAGAGTATGTTACCTCTGAATGAACAGTATGAACAATCAAAATGGTCAGAATGAATTGTGTTATATATGGAACATATAACACAGATAGAAAAAGATGATATTCAAGATCATCTTGGCACCTTAAAATCACTTCCACTGCCAATTTTTGAAACCCATGATTCTTGATATTTAATTTAATTAGCAGAGTAGAATTAAGTTAAATGGGTATGCATAATCTCTGAGCTGAATAAACATTACTGACCATAATCATAAGTTAAGTATTAGAAAATAAAAAGTTTTTTTTTTCATTAGAGGCTACTTTAACTTGCAAAATTTAAGGTTTCAAGGGACTTTGGGGCACCAGTAGTTTAACTTCTTCATCTTCCTTTCCAAGGCTCCGGGAGAACAAAGTTTAAAGACTCCTTGAAGGTTAGAAATGCCCTGTTCACATCAACATTAAAACTCAAACCTCCTGACTCCTAATCCCTGGTTCTCACTCACTACACCAGATTGCCTGTCATTGCTCCTTTTCTATCCTATTCTTCATGTGCAGCACAAGAATATTTAAGGCTAAAACATCGGTAAATATAACCTTCAGAATTTCCTCTACTCCTCTGATTCAACTTAGATGTTTTAAAGCTAATATTTTCAGAAAAGAAGATAATTTTTCCCATGTGTTTTTGCTGATTGGAATTTAAGGTTACATTAAACATAATTTTACTTTTACATTAATTAGAGTAGCTTATCTGGATTTTTGTCTTTGATAGCCAGTAAAGGTAAGTGAACAAAAGAATGCATGCTATCACACAGACAATGGGAGGATTTCTTTTTAAATTTAAGAACTAGCCAAAAAACTAAACATTTGCATAGCCATTATTTCGACTGAAACTTCCTTTAAATGTGTTTCCTTTGCAGCTAGCATATGTGAAAAGTGACCTCTTATCCATTTACATACCTACCCAGAAGTCATGTGATAGTGTTTTACGTCAAGCTGTCAATTATGATAACAGACACAATAAGAACAGCCCAAGTGTTGATAGCTTGCTTCCTGACTTTATTGAAAAGTTTGTTGATAGTCGGCTTGTGTCCTTTTAATTGCTTGCCTCTAATAAATGACTACCTTTCTAGTGGTTTTAATGTACCACACTTTGGCTTTGCCATTTGCCAGGACAAATATTATAGTGGGATTTCAACTAATATCTAGTTGAAAAATAAAATCCTACAGAGGCAATTTCTTAAAAAGGCCATTTTGTGTACAGAAATTTTCACTATAATGAAAAGTACTTTTAAATTATATCAAGAAAGGTGTTGAAAATATTCCAATTAAAACTAGCCCAGTAATTGAAATTGAAATAATAGCATTATATAGTCATGCAAGAGATGTAACATGCTGAAGCCCAAAAACCAAAAAAATCCATGCAATTGTGAGAAGTAATGCAAGGACTGAATTGATCAGGCCGCTCATTCATTAGCTCTAATAATAGGTAGCATATATATAGTCAGGAGATTATAATTTTGAGATTACGAAAATAAGTCTTATTTCTTATAAATTGGATTTTACTTTACTGTTTCACTCAGGGAAGAAGGCAAAAATGACCTCCCATTTTATACCACCTAAAATTTCATGTCTATATTAAAAGTTAATATGCATTTCAATAGCTCATTCAAATAGTGATCTTTTATTTCTAAACAAGAAGCTTCTTAGCTGCAAATTTTTATTTCCAATTTTCAGTGAGGTTTTTTAAAAAATATGTTGTACCGATGTACAATAGTAAGGATTTATATTTTTATTATGACCTTAGACTCAAATATAATGTGATAATCAAATTAACTGGATTCTCTTATATTACCAAACTTTCTTGATAGCAAATAAAGGACAGAAATTGATCATTTGTTATGAGGTTGACCAGATAAGACACTGGTGCTAATTTAAGTAAGCTGCCTCATATTATTCATATACTAAAATTGTTAGACTGGATTATAAAATAATTTCTACATTTTCTAAGCAACATCCAACACTCTGTTAGATCTCATTTTCTCAAGGAGACAAAACTTGGGAAATGTAGTTCCTTCATGGCCTATCCTAATGAATGTGCACAGTGTGTTCATGAAGTATGAAGGAGGAAAGGAAACACTACCTTTTACTAAACTTCTATGAAGTTAAGCCAGAGTGGAGGTCTTCCACATCTCTGATAATGTCCCAAACCATAAAAAGACATTTCTCAGCAGAGACTAAAGAGCATAGTTTGCCAAAGCAGGACCCATGAGTTCTTCAAGCCACCAAACCATCTTCCAATAGAAAGTTAAAGAAGAATGAAGCTACAATTGAAGCTCTGATTTTAAGATTTCCCCCATGCCAATAGCAAATGCATTAAATAAACCAATAATCCCAAAGACAGACTAGTTCCAGACCTTGAAAAATACTCCAGATTGTGTAAGCAACGAAGAAAAATTCTAAAGTCAAGTCCTGATCACCTGGCATGAGCTGATTATTATGACTGATTAGAGAGGACTGTTTTTAATAGCAAATTATAAATTGGTTTACATGAACGTTTTTGAAATATTCATCATTATATGATTTTATGTTTCAGATTCAAATGAGATATCATATTTGCAATGATAGGTAAAAATTCCAGTGTCAGAAAAAACTAATATTTCAAGGCAGTTAGCAACCAGTATCAGTCAGTAATAACCATTATAAAAGGAGCACAAAGATGTATAATTATTAATAACAACTGTATGAGTACCAAGTTAATGAGTATAAAAGCATACACTTCTAGTATTCAGATTCACCAATATGAATGTATTACCCTTACAGGTGAAGTACAGGGTTAATTTTAGTACTAGAATATTTTCCATCTCAACTTGAGAATGCCAGTATGCTTGTGTATTAGAAATGACCATGATGAAAGCTCTACTGTAGTGTCATTTTATAAAAAGATTATTTATAAAATGGTCAAAATTATTCAACAATTTTAAATGTATTGTTAACACTAATTTATGTAGGCTATATTAAAGTTCTTTTTCAAAGAAAAACTAGCACTCGACAATGCACATTAATAATTTTCATAACCTAAAAGAATAAATCTTTATAAAGCAGCCACCATGAAGTGAAGAATGTACCTGGTGACAATATTTATTCTTAAGGGGTCATGTATATTAAAGGCTATGGGGAATGTTTAAAAGAACCCTCTCAGACTAAAACCACTGCCTTTCTAATTTTGATTTTCTCCTAGCTAATATAAAATGATTGATTACCTTTATTTCATGTACCCCTTGATTTTCCTTTTCATTCATCATTGAGTACTTTAAACCAAATGCATTTAGAACCTGCTGCTAGAAGAGTGGTCTCTTTTAAATCTTTGTAAAGTAATGAAAGGACACAGTAAATCAATCTCATTTCTACTGTAGGAAAGAATAACCTTTACTCTGCTGAAGTCATTTAAACTGTTTCTGTCCCTTCTTTCCTGGATAGTAAACATAAAACTTCACCTACACAATTCTTTTAAAATTTGAAAGGATAAAAATGATAGGCTTTGAACTGGGGCCTTAGTTTACTAATATTAATATATAGCATAGTATGTATTTGCATTTATTTTCTGTATGCCTCCAAATTATAGTTCATTATGAAATAAGGTATATTGGGCTTCTTCAAATTAAAAAGTAGCACTAACTCATTACATAAAGGGCAAATTCTTTGTCTGCATGGTGTTTAAAATTTTTAACTATGAAGGATGGGTGTTTTTTTTCTGCCAAGGATCAATATGATAGCACATATTTCATAAGTATCAACCACATTTGTCTCAATAAAACATATTCATATTGTAAGTGGTCTTGAGTCAACACTGTCCACTTACATAACAAATGGTCATCTTTGATTTAAAAAAAAAACTTTGTGGTCTAGAACTCATATATATATATATATATATTTTTTTTTTCATTTAAAATGTGCCCAGAACTCTATCTACATTAAAACTCATATTTTCATGATGCTTGCTAAGTTTTCTTGATTAAGCTTTAAATACGTGAGAAATAACTTTTTTATTAATGGACTTTTGTGGTCATAATTACATGAGGCTCCAACATTAGTCTTACATTACAAAAATTCAAGCTGCCATGGGTTAGCTGGGAAAGAAGGAAGATTGCTTCTAAATACATGGAGTTGGTTATAATCTAGCCAGTGTTTGGGGCTAAAGGTTTAAATAATGGAGTCATGTTTCTATGAATTAAAAATTAACTGGAAATTAGAGATGTGTCATAAAGAATAATGCAAATCCCATGACAAAAATATTTCTGAAAATATGTGTAATGATTTTTAAAAGAACAAGTTTCTAAATCTATAAATCCTGCATATGTTAAAAAAAACACAATGAACACATACATTTGTCAAATAGAACCATATTATAGTAATTATAACACATTTCATATTACAGCAATTTTAGAGGTGAAAAAAAGCAACATTCCAGAGAATTATGTTGAAAAGTCAATGGCTGGCAAAACCACTAATTATTATTTGGTATTTTCATAACTGTGTACAGATGTTTTCAGTTAGTTCTCACTCTTTTGTTTTGTTTTGCTTTTTTTAAACCTGGCAAACCATCAAGTATCCTGAATAAGCTATCATCTTTATGATTTTCTCTGAGCTCCGCATGTGGTGACCTTTAATATATGCAGTCTGCCATCTTGGCCTGCCACTGGGAAGGACTTGGGAACTCCACACGCAGCACAGTTAAGCCACAATAAGGGTAAGCAAAGTAGACAGGCTTAGAACGAACTAAGTTGCCATAAGTATCTGCCTAGGCTTACTACATATATAAAAACTCACATGTATGCACAGAGAACTTACAAATGAAAAGCAATTTGGTTAATACCAGGTCTTTCTTATTTATTATAGCCTATTTTTGCCTAACATTTTTCATACTGCTAATTTCAAACTGCTCTGCTATCAAAACTTTAGAGCAGCAAACATATGCGTCATAAAATATACTTAAATTCTGAAATGTTTCGAATTATTTCTGTTATCCTAACTAGAATCATGGGATTTTGATATTGGTATGGTCCATGCTTTTGACTGTGGCTAATTTGTTTATAATCCACCATTAATCCTCGCTGTATATTTTCACAGTTTGGGTAAACACTTCATTTGCATTAAATTTACAGTATTAATGAGATGTGAAATTTAAAATGCTACTTGAAACATAAAGGATGTAAGAAAGCAGAACCAAAAAAAAAGTGTTTTATCACATCTAAAATCAGTAAACCAATTTAAACCTATTAAAATAGAAATGATGTGTCGCCTGAGATTTTAGCTTCATAACTCATCTTCTTGGACTAAAATACAAAAGCAAAGAGTAAAACATCTGGAAAATATGAAATTGCTCAAAAACACAAATTATGTACTGCCTCTACTCTAATTGGCTTTTCCATCGGTTTTCATCTTTTGCCTTTGAGAGCTATAGGCTAGTAAGTTCTCAATAGCCAATGAGACTGAGAAAAAGACTCTGGCTGAAATAACACTGCTATTCATGAATGTTACCAATATATGCTACAGAGATGGAAGAGGTCACGAGCCAATTTGAGAAACTCTGCTTAGAGAGGTGAGAAACGAAAGCTAAATGAGGAAAAATTTTGGAAAATGAAACGATCAATTTCGGTCTCAGAAGCCCCATGAGCCCCCTTCTGAGTCCAGATCTGAGAGGCAACATGGAGGAAAGCACGGAAGCAAAAGCGTGGCTACACCATTACACCTGGGTGAAACTTGCCCACCTGTTGCTGATGTAGGAAGGATGGGTCTCTTGGGCTTAGTCCCACATATCGATTGGCTTGAGATGTGCCTGAGGCTGTGTAGGCTGATTAAGGAAGAACAAAAACAAAGATAAAAATTGTGAACTATCAGAATGAACACCCTGTCCATGTATAAGAAACCCAGAGAAGTGGGATTTGCAACCAAAAAAAAAGTGTCTCCATTTCTCTTCTCTTGTCTGAGTGAATACCATGTGATAGAAAAGAAATGGTAGTTAACTGCAAATCAACTAGTTTATCCCCCCTAAAAAAAATCTATCCAATAAATCAAACCCCATACTTTGATGTGATTGTCTCACACTTATATGTGGCAGTGAAAGTCCTGCAGAGATAACCAAAGATTTGCTAAAAGAAGGGTCTTTTTCCTACATGTACCTTTTCACCAGATATTAGTTGTCTAATAGTGGAATAATCAATTGATGGTATGTGACTCTGAAAGTAAAAGCAGACAAAGTTTGTCAGGAAAAAGTGACAGCTTTTAATGATGGGATATAAGCAGATGTGCTTGACGATATGGGAAGGGAAATGTCTTACTTAAAAATTTTACTGAAAGGAAAATCTAATATTACTATCATGAAAGAAGAGTCTATTTTTATTATCATATAGAATGAATTAGTGCAGTATTTTATTTGATGTGAAAATGACCTCAAGTATGATAGAAGTGTTTTTTAAAAAAATTATTTTCCATAAGCACATACAAAAATAATCAATTTCTCCTGATTGGTCCAGGAAGGGAGTTGATGCACTTTTCAATACTTGGCCACCAGGTAGTAAGTTATATGGTGACTACTCCTTACATTCTTATGGTCTCATTTGCGAGTATTTTTTGCACATGTGCTTTTGCTTTTCTGGTGCAGTGTGAATTTTTTGCAAAAAGTTCTGTCACTAAAAGTTTTTGTTTCTTTTCACAAGGAAAGGACTTGTATCTTCCCATTGCTCTGTGTCACCATATGTTACATTTACACGTCTAAAGAAAGCTACAATGTTTGGTTTAAAACCATCAGATTAATGAAGAATCCAGGCATTAATTTTAAATAGGCTGGCTTTCTAAACCAATATATTCATTCTGCCTTGTTTATTTAAAGGACTGAGGAGTTTGATCCATGGATGCTTTTTTAGGTCAACTTTTAAGAAACAGTGAAGATGTTCACAATTCCTCTTTTAATTACTTCTGAATAAAAGGCCCGTGCAAGGGTAGCCATAAGCATTCAGTGGCCTCTCCAGGCTCCTGGAATTCAATGCACAGCATGGACAGCTAGAGAAAAGCATCACCCTTATAGAGGAAGCTCTGGATCTATGCTGCTCTTTCTTTACAACCATGAGAAAGAAGTTTCCTTGGCCTCTGTGTTTTCTTTAACCTTACTGACATCAATTCAATGACCAGTTTCTCATTATCAGTGGTGCCTAGGGAACTGGAGCTATGAGTTGGTTTATAGCAAAGGAAAACTACTCACTATATTTCTTTTATGTAGGAATGGAAAATGGACTGATGCAGTCATCTTACACAATCAAGATATTCCTTTTGAATATTTTGTAATTTTACTAGTCAAATCAGATCCCTTTCTGAACAACCTGTATGTAAGTATAAAAACAATTTATTAACAAACAGGCTGAAGGCACTCCCATAAGTGAGCTGTGATCATTTGGGTGTGATCCTCCCCTGAGTTTCATATATGAATGTCACCATAAGAGTGGGAACCAGAACTTTCCAGAGCTTGGTTTTGATCGTTTAACCTGTGATAGTCTTTCAAATACTTTAAAACATATATTTGTTTTCTATGTGCTTTTACTGAAATTGCTGACATTGTTTGCTCAAAGATGCCAAGACATCCATTTTTTAAATTTGCGTGTAATGTTTTAGTGACTGTAATGCATATAGCAAGTTTTAGAACAAAAGAATTTTTAGTTTTTCCTAAGTGGGTTTCATCCATCTGTGCATTCAGGGAAGTGTTCACTAGTATAGGACTGACCCTCTACCAACAAACCAGTTACTCAGCATTAATGATTATTGGTTGGCATTGCAAGTCTCTATGAATTTATTAGTTTACAGGGCTCATGAATTTTGAGAAAGAAATGCTGAGTTCACTATACACTCAAAGTATTATCCATTTTCCTGTAGGGTTCCTTCCTAGTCTTTCAGAAAAGGCATCTTTTCAATGGCTGAGTTAAAAGCCAGTGGGGCCTCTGATTGTCTCTGTAATTTCACATGGGAATTTCCAGATCATGGGTATTTTCTTGCTCTAGGAAAGAAAAATAGAGGGTTTGAATTTAAGATATCTGTATAATTGGTGAGGCACATGCTAATTCCTCCTGACTGAAACTTGATCCATTCCACTTTACCAATCTGTGCACACCAGCTCCAGTTCTAAGAAGCTGACAGTTAGGGTAAAACCAATTGAAAATTAATTCCTTGTACTCTTCTAAATATTCTATATGAAGAAGCAAAGGAATCATTGGCTTATTGGTATGTGCTATGTTAATTTCACTGGCTAAATCTCTGACATTTAAAATGTTATGGCCAGCTAAAAAGCATTGTGTCTGATATACCATGATAGGCAAAATAATCGAAAGGTTTAAAAAAAAAAAGTTGCAGACAATGAAAGTGCAGGTAGCTTACATGTGCCTAATACTAAGTTTTGAAATGTTCTTGCATGCGCCCAACATTGTGTGACTGTTGCTAACAATGACATAACCTACAGTAATGTAAACATGCAATTACCTTACAGAGGCACTGATTCAGTCTGCTCATGAAGGGGCTTGATTTCTATAGGAATGTTCCAATAAGTACCAATTATCTAATCTCTCGTTGGGTGATATAAAAACCTTGCACACTGCGTTATGTTATTCAGTGCAATTTCAATGTATACCTTGAACGAGCAGGCATGACTTGTTATTTTTGTTATAACTGTTTACTCAAACAAATAAGCTTCTCCCTTTTCAAATATGATGCACTGACTGAAATTTGATAAGAGAGAGCATGAGATAGCAGGGCCACATACATGCCTGCTAGTTCCACTTAAATGAGAAATCTCCATCTGGTTGGGTAGCTGGAAAAATTGCTGTGTTTTCCACCTTGGATCAGACATCCAATGGTGCCTTTGATGGACATTTCTCATTTCCTACAGAAATACTTACTGGTTGCTGTAGGTGAAGCTGCCTCACCTTCAGTGGATGTAGTGATGGGTTTAGTATCTGTCATGGTCAGGGTCACAGGTCGCACTGCACTGGGATGGGGAGAGGGTGCCAAGACAGGAGTGAAATGGCCAGGCACTTTCCCTACTACTTGACCACTGCTGTTAGGCTACAAAACAAAAACAGAATGCGGGTGAAACAATCCAAAAGGCAGTCATCTCGTCCAACAACTCCACTCAGCGCATGTGGCTGCGTGGATCTTGCATGCTGCGTGGAACTGCCACACGGGCCCTCTCAAGTCTGAGTCTGAGAGGCCAGTCAATGGTTAGTAAGAAGTAGTAGCATTTCAAAGAAGGTCTTCATCTTCAAAGCACGTGATATAGGTTAACTCACCTTTACAACACACCCCTGAGAGCCGGGCAGACTGAACCCTTTCATTTAGTAGGCCAGAAAACTCGCAGTGGAGACTTAAATGCTTAGCCCAAGGCTAAAATGGAATTCCTTACTGACCTAGCTAGAATTAGAACCCAGTGCTTTCGTATTCTCTGCTCTTCATTTTCTATAGTTAGTCAGTTTTGCTTTCAGAACACAATTTTCGCCTACATGATACCACTGATACAAGGGGACATAAGAACATCTAGGAGACCCAACACATCGAACTCTCTAATTTTCATCATTTATAGTCAAGGTCCACTCTCCTGCACACAAAACTCTAGCACTCTCACACACAGGGTGCTCAGATGCACGCATCAGGCAATTTGGATTCTAGGATCTACACTCAACTTTTGATCATTTACTAACACAAGCAGATGGAATGAGATTTAAAGCCTCTAAAATTTCAGATCTACAGAATGATATAAAATGCTCAACTAGGTCTGTCCTTATACCTAAAAATGAAAGATTTCCAGAGTAAATTCAAACCATACTGAAGTGAACCAGAAGACAATCAAATACACATTGTTATTTGAGTTACTCTTCTATTGTGGTGCATGGAGAGTTACACAAAACATTTATTGTTGATATTGGTGGGAATTAACTGAGAAAATCCTTTGGGCAATGAGAGAAAAGATATTATTATCTGAGTTTTAGCCTCTGGGTGCAAAAATAGTTTCTGTGGTAGGAGACAAAATTGTAAGGGTACACCATTTGAAGAAATAGTGGAATATATTTTTCTAGCCAGAGAATACTATTTTTGATTATACTCATGTTGGAATTCTCCACTGCATAGTGTTTATAACAATTTGCTAGGAGGTGATTCTCCATAAATACGTGATCTTTATAGTCTAAACTGTTAAAGGTAAGGAAAGCAATGAAGTAGAGTATTTATCAAAATACCTACACATAAATTACAAATAGACATTTCTTTAGAGAGAAAGATGAACAGCTAACAATATTTAAATATTGTGACTTAGAGACATGAACTAAGTCTTTGGTTAGGTTCTGCAGAGGCCACATTATTTATTCTATAAAGAAAATGGACTTACTGAATATCCTGACCATTCATCACGGGTAATTTTAAGTATTTAACTTTATGTCAGGAAAATTGACCAGAGTTTTCCTCTACGGAAACCTATGAGAGAGTTATATCTTTAAACTAATTTTATTCAAAATATTCTGTTGAATAGCATGACTGTCTCACTATAATTGGTGCAGCAGTAATGCAATTAATCTCTAAATTGCTGTGGGGAGAAAAAGGCATCTCAGTTGCTGAACTTAACAATCAAAATCAATGCAGTACTGGAGAACATTGAGAAGGAACAGTTGACTATAGGTGAATGGTGAACTAATACACAGGGTTTTTTTTTTTTTTTCATTTCTATAGTAGAAAAAGGTGAATACCAAGAGTTCTATTTTGAAAGGCAAATTAGTTGGTTTTGAGTTGGAGTTAAAAATCAAAGCAGATATAATGTTCCTAAAAAAAACAATTCTGCAATTTACTTTAAAGACCAATTTTTCCTTTTAAGGGGAAAAAGTAGTTTGTTTCTAAAGCAGACCATCAACTTTTGGTTATTTGAACATTGAAAAGAACTGCTTTATATATCTTACTCAAGAAAGAAGAAAGATCTCATTTTATCATTGGTAGTACATTCAGTGGTGAAAGTGTTTCTGTATACAGTGTTCACCAAAACAGTTTGATAGTACCTACCTGGAACAGAGCAGAATGACAGTCATTTCAAGGAAATGCTGCCATGGAATATATTTCCCTGTCCATTCTACAAACTTTGTCTACTGGAATTGAATCAGCATGAACGGACAGACATGTCTCTCATTTAAGAATAATAAAAGGGACAAAGAAAGAATTTCCAAGCCAATGCAGACAAATTTTCTGAAACTTGGAGTCAGAAGAATGGGAGAGTTATTTCTCTTCAGTTTTCTACTAGTTCAAATAGATGAAGCTACACTAAAAAGCTTCTATCTTTTAAGGCTGTTAATAGATGAAGTTTCATACTGTAGATATGAAAAGAGAGATGTCTTATCCGAAGGTGAAGTTGAACTGCATTAGGAAAGGATTATCCTACTTAGTAAATTACTCCTATTATACAAAATCCTGAGAAGGTTTTTTTGTTGTTATTTTTTTAATTGAGATGAGAGTAAGATGCTTCTCTTAGAAGGTGGATATATACATTCAAAATGTGAAGAAAAACTGAGAACAATATAGGCAGATTATCACCTAATATGCCCTCTTAACTTATAAAGAAATTGAAATATACGTAAAACAAGCACTGAATAATTAAAGAAATGCATAACACTAAGGGCCTGATTTTAATTTGCATAATTTTTCCCCTAACAGTGCCTAATTAAGACATCAGTTAAAAAAAAAAATCCAATGGAACTCTAAGATTTTCCACACTGAATTAACGTTAAGGACTTTTAATGGATGTCTTAATTAGACTTTGTTATTCATGGAAATTCTACACAAATTAAAATCAGACCTTGTGTGCACTGTTCCCAGCTGAGTCTAGCAAAATGCTCTATGGAACTGAGACGTTTGAATCCATGCTCTGACAGCAAATTTTATTTCTAAACTGATAGACTAAGATCCCACGTTTTTCCCTTAATTGTCTTTAAAAGTGCTATACCATTTGAACATATTCTTCTAAAATACAAATAATAAGTTTAACTTAAAAATTCAATACTTAGTTTAGTATATTAGTCATTGAAGCTAAAAGTAATGGTTAACTTTTCAAGTAACCCAAAGGATGCTGGATATGTTGTTATTCAAAATAAAACATTCAGAAATGACCATTTTGCTTCATTTTAACAAACTAAGGCCAACGGGATTTTTTTTCTGACTTTTCATTGTTAATTATAAATTGATATGCATATACTATTTACTAGCATTTTAGTAACTATTCAACAGCAGTAATGATAGAATGTTTGTGAAATTTCCCCCACACATTATAAGGCATAATAAGGAGTGGACAGGAGTCTTGGAGGATAAGCAGCAAAGCCATATATCAGACCATAAGATCAAAATTATGTTACAGTTTTTGGATATTATAGTTATTAATAGTCTCAGCTCTGGTACAAAGACTGTCCACTTGATTGTGGAAATCCTCATATACCAAATTCCTATGAAGTGATCTCTCTGTAGAAGAAACCACATGTCTAGGGAGTGAAAAATGCACATGAGTCACTACACTTAAACAATGAATCCCTAAAACCACTGCACAATATTTACAAAAAAAAAAAAAGATGCTTCTAGTAATGTCACTCATTAAATGTAAGTCATGTCTCTGCAAAGAATATTCAAGTAGTCATCAAACACTGAAAGTGTTTACATTACCAAAGATTATTTTAATACCTAATAGTTGGTCTATAAATACAACTGCAAGTTCTTTTGTGTGTGTTTATTTTAGCACATACCTTGCTCCTGCCTGAAATAAGCACTTTGTCTCTATGTCAAACCAGGTATTTCAGAAGTGTGAACTCCAGCTCAGAGCTTTTTTGTCAATGTACTTTCTGCAGAAACTTTCCCTTCAGTCAATGAAAATCCAAAAATATTCAAGCATCTTCACAACTATATCCCTTTGGGGCAACACACTTCCTACCTGTCATTCAGCCACCTTTAAATAAAAACTGATTGAGTCACCAAGAAGCTTCCTGAAGATGGATTTCAAGGCTTGATGTTCTGCCAGACATACTGTCTGACTAACCACCATGTTAGACCTGTCCCATCTCCCTTAGGCGCTAATCTTATTTTCTTTTATTTTTACCTGGCTGGTTTGTGGACTGGATGGGTCATAAGAAGGTACATAGTTCTTCAGAGTATCCTGAGGATTCAGGTGGGGAGGATATCTGATTGTTGGATGAGAAAAGTAGCTCGATGGGGCTGGAGGAAGGATAGCTTGTGTTGGAAATGGCAACGGTGAGGGTGGAGGTGGAGTTCGAGTTGAGATGACTGCAGAAGATAGAAAAGGAAAGGTTGACTCGTCAGCTGTTCGCCTTACTGCTCCGTTCTGATACTAAAGAATGTTGCAAAACTCTAAAATCAGCAACTATTCATTTTTTTCCTATGATTTAACCAAGCTCTCCTAAAATAACAGATACTCTTTTGCTTTTATTCTTAATGCCAGTACTGCTAAGTACACAGAGACAAAACCCCATTCTAGGCGACTAACAATCTTGCTTTCTAGATCTATGAATTATTAAAAAAGAAGTTTCTCTTTTATGGGTTATGTCAATACTTGATAAAACATTTCTTTGAGCAAAGTTATTTCCCATCAAAAACACACTTTTGATTATAAAGTCTTTGTCTTATAAGAACAGAACAAGTCACAGCATTAAGTAGAGGGCAAGAGACCCACAAATTTTCTACCAAAACTCAAAACAGAAATGTAATCCAATTTCAAGTAAATCATTTCCCTATACATCCTAGCTAGCAGTTTTTTAGAAGGAAAGCCAATACCTAATACACAATAATCTCATGTCATGAATAATTATCTGGTCATTCTATAAATGGTTCTGAACATTTGAACATAGGGCTGGAAATTATTTCTCCTAATGAAAATGTTCCTTTCAAAACCAAAAGAGCTCTGTTCTACAACTATTTTTCTTCCTATTCTAATTTTGACTATATGTAACTTAAAAGGTATTGTTTAAGGTAAGACTCACAGAAAATGCAAATTTAAACTTTCATATAGGTAGGTATATTAACTTACCTATAAATCACATATATTTTAATAATTTTATAAAGGGAAATACAATATAAAACACATGCAATGTGGACAATGTTTAATTTAACTGTAACTTTTCAACATTAGTATGATCACACTTTATTGTTGTTTTTGAAATGTAATTCTTAAGTTTGAAGGATGGAGAAAAATAAATTGTATGATCATGATCTCTGTAATATTTAGGAAAATAATCATATAAGTACAAATTAAGAGTACCAACCAGTATATGTAGAAGTTAAGATTAAATGTTTCTATTTAATATAGCAATTCAAATCATAGGAAATTACAAATGATAAATGTTTAATGTTTTATGAGACAACTTGGCAAACAATATGAAAATTAAATTCTGTCCATGACTTACAAAAGAAAATCATCTGGAATGACTTCTCTCCAACTTTGTAATTATGTGAACAAAAAAACTTTCTAAGGGATACATTGCTTATCTCCCCAAAGAAAATTTTTCAGAAGACACAAGATATTAGGAATGCAAATCTTAGAAAATCATAAATTCAATCTGATAGTCACAACTTTGCTTCCTAAATGTCCAGGGCACTGTTTCTGAAAATCCCCGGATTGTTATTATAATGCAGATTCCTGGGCCTAACAACAGACCTACTGGACCAGGACCTCTATGGGTGAGGTCAGACTTTGCATCTTAAACAAGTGCCCAATGTAATCTTCCTACACACTGAAGTTTGAGCATCCTCCAACAAATGGATGCATTTCGGAGAACAACTGCATATTTCTTAAAACTCCTTATTGGAGTATACTTTATTTAAGAAGTATACTTATTTAAGGAATTTAAGGAAATACAAACATCTAAGAAAAATGGAGCATTTTTACTTAGTGTCTAAGTGCTCTTAATCTCAACTCAATTTTACCGTGACCTTTGCTCACATCTGTATACAAACACTTGCAAGATATATATAGTTCCATCCTGGGTCCTCTGAGTTTTGAGGTCAATTTGGCTTTAGTATTTCTAGAAGAGATCTCTTTTCAACCAAACCGGCACAAATCAAATCTAAACTCAAATCTATAAGTAACCTGGCACTGTGCTTGCATGAACTGTAACTAGCCTAATACAACCAAGTAGAATGTTGTATTTTAAACATAAGGTAGTAAAAATGACTACCTTATAAATAAGTCATTCTAGTCCTTTAAAAAAAAAAGTAAAATACATGAAAAAAACATTTCCCTTCATTATGAAAGGATATATTCACACACACATGTATATGTATTCTTGCCTATGTTATTGCAAAGGCCTCAGTCTTGCTGCTTCTAATACATCCTTTATAGTTCTATATGAATGACTTTTTAATAAAGATACCATTAGAATCACGTAACTTCTCTGCTAAAAATCTTTCAATGGTTTCCTGCTGCTTTAAGAATAAAATCCCAACAGTTTTACAGGTATGTACGAGCTCGTGTTTTAGGACCCTGTTCTGGATCACTTCTTTGGCCTCATCTCTGGCCACATTAAGAGATTTGTAGATCCCTGGGTATTTGGCAGTTCCTTGCTGCATGGCCTCTAATGCGTTGATACATGCTGTTGCCTCTGTCTGAAACACCCTTCCTCCTGCCTTGTTCCCTCTTGTGCTGAGCTCCTCCTTCAAACTTTGGTTCAGAATCTCTTCCAGGCATCTAATTCTCCTCCATGTATCTAGTCCTGTTCAGATTAGATGCCTAGCCAGTGATGTGGTCCTTAGTCTCCCCACTACTTCACGAGCTCTTTGAGGACAGAAACCACCTTTCATGACCAAGGTGCCTACCACAAGCCCTAACATATGAACAAATATCTGGTGAAGGACCAAGGTGGAAGACTTATCTAGGTCTCTCATGTTTCATTATGTAACAATATACTGTTTAACTTTTTTCAAATGTTAGAAGTAAGAATATTTTCATCAGGTGTCATAATAAATGGATGGTTTGACTTCTAAGTTAATTTTGCCCAAATACCCAATATTACAAATCTATGAAACAGTTACTGATGTTTTCACCGATCTCAGTAGTACAAGCAATAAATGTAAAAATTCTTATATCACATTTAATTTGTATATTCCTCTCAATTTAATAATTTCCTTAATGATAGCAATAAAGGTCATTTTTTAAGTATAGCAACAGTAGATATCAACATACACTTATAAACCAAACTTAAGGACTGTATTTTAACAGATATTACATTCTTTGAATAATTATTTTAAAGCCAGATTTGATTAGTCTGAAGGATACAGAATTGCCTAACTATAAATTTAGAGCAGTAAGAGTATCACTATGAATGTATTTATATATAAAACTTTCTCCACCTAAAATTCAGTCGATTCCTCTTTAAGACTTGAGAATAATAGGTAGAAAGTATACAGGACTGATTATTAATTGGAGCTCATTTTTAACTTTGAAAGAAGATTTAATATTAGCTATTGGTTAAAGTACAAATATAAAATATAGAATTCTTTTCCCTATTTAAATTAAGATAATATATATATAATATAAAGCATACTTGCCCAAAGGATTTGTGCATATAAAACAGTAGTTGAAAAAAAGTACCTTTTCTTTTCTGATTAATTTCATTCCCAAATAAGTAAATATTGATTTGGGTGTAGAAAATAACATATGCGGAAATAGTATCTGTGTATCTTAATGCCTTTGGAAGTATTCTAAATGCAGCAACATAATTGAAATTCCATCTTTCCCTTAGTAAAATATATAGAATTAGGACCAATCCTGAAGCTATAGTTAAGATAATTAGGTACCCCATATTTTCTAAGTTATTTTTAATGAAGGTAATGTAAAAATACATATATAAATATTATTTAATTGTCTGACTCTGAAAATCTTTTCTCATAAATTGATAAGAAAAAACATTTTATCAGATTGTCACCCTCTCCCTTTTGTTTGATAAAATACGACCACTATAGCTATAATTATAAACTTTAGCCCCATCCTTAAGGGATCGGGCCCTACAGACAAGAGGGAGGCTTCTCCTCTATGCTTGAAACTCCTCACCACTGTGTGCAACACCAGGTATTCCGGGATGGTGGTGCTGGGGGAAAGTGCTCAATCTTGGGGAAGAATCCTGCGGAGATGTAGAGCTGAACAATGGCTTTTCGGGCTTCTTCATAGTAGTCGGAGAAGACATATCTGCAATGCAGAGGGAAAAATTCAAGTTTTATGACCTTCTTAAGCTCTCAGGTTCATGTCAACACAATAAGAGATCTCATTGGCCAACAATTCAATATTTTTGCACTTTGGCTCTTTTACAAATTATATACTGAGTGTCAAAAACCTAGGTATGGTGGAGCTTTGAAATATCTGTTAGAAACAATTTCCCTTGAAATTAACCAAATGCTTCATTAAAATTATCATCAGAATTATTTCTAGTACTAAATAAATTTTGAACTTCTGAGAAACCAAGTATCCTGTTTTCTTTCAGTCCCTTGGTTCACATAAAGGCCTTCTTTGCCTCAGCATTTCATTTTTAGATCTATATGATTCCGGGGTTGTCTTCTGATCTGTTGACTACACTGTGAATCAAATAGAGGACAACACAGTGCGCAAATGTGAAAAACAACCTTTGGATATGCTGGTAAGTACATCATTGACTTAACATCTTTTATGGAAAACTCATCCACTTGTTTAGCAAAACATACATTCTTTACTTTGCTCATTCTGCAAATATTTAGTGGGTTCCTCTATTTGCCAGATAAAGTGAGGATGTTAAGAAAAATAAAAAGTAATTTCTGCTCTAGAGATTTTCACTGTCAGTGAAAAGGAAAATGACAAGAAGAAAATGGTGGTCAACAGCCAAGAGGGAGCAAGTGTGCTGCTGAGAGCAGGGAGGCTGTGGGATTTGCTGCTACATACCCAGCCATGATGGGTGAGCAGGGTAAGGAAGGAAGCCTCCCCAGGTGAAGGAAGGCATGCCCCAGTGGCACCATTTTTGACATGTGGATGGGGATGACATTCCCCAGTGTGGAAATATTCAGAAAAAGGAGGGCATAAAATACACAAGTAGTAAAAGTGATCTGTGGAGATGGTGAAGTAGAAACATGAGGAAGGAGAGCAAGCAGCTGGCAGGTCCCACATGATGAAGGTCATGGGCTTCCTGTACAAATGACTGAATGCTCACCCTGATGGGGGAAATGTCATCGATGGGCTAAATATGATCACAATTACAGTGTAGAGCAAGCCCTCCAGAAATTAAATGGAGGCTGGACTGGCCAAAATGGAGACAGAAAGCATGGAGGCCACTTAAGAAGATAGATTAATTAATACATTCATTCCATAAATGTTTATTGAAGGCATAATTTATGCCAGACACTGCATTAGTTTCTGGAAACACAATGGTGAACTGAATTCACTTTTGGCTTTTATAAAGCTTAAAATTTAGCAAGGGGATATAGACCGATAAAGAGGAATTACAAAACAATGTACAACAGGCTGTGATAGGAGAAGTATTCAGGGCTTCATTCCTTCATTTGTTCATTCCATAAATATTTAATACTGACAATAGATAGATCATGAGAGCTTGAAATAGGAATGGGGATAGAGTTAATGGAATAAATATTTAAACAGAATTCACCCAATTAAATTAATAACTGATGTAGATGGTCATCATCTTAAGTGTTAGGAGATTGTACCATGCAGTTAGCTGGTCTAAGGAATTTAGGAGGAAACTCTGGTTAGTAGGACAGATGTGCCCTGATTTTAATATCTTGAGTAATGATTTTTATGGAGGCTTATATATTTATTATAAAAATGATATGAGGTATAAAATTTGTATTTTTATTATCAAAAACTTTAAATATATACACAAGTAGACAGAATTGTAATGGATCCTCATATACCCATCAACCAAATTCAGCAACGATCAAATCATTGCCAATCTCATTTCGTCTTTATCCTCATCTACACTTCCTCCCCCTGTGTTACTTGGAAACAAATTCCAGATGTCACATAATTTTACCTCTAAATAGTTCAGTGTGTATCTCTAAAAGAAAAGAAATATTTTATCACACATAAAAATATATGCAATTTGCATTTTTAATTAGAATTTTTTTTTAAATGAGAAAAAGACCTCATGGTGCTATTAATATAAGCAACTAGCTATCATTATGTTTTACCATTTGAAAAATTACCTAAGCTCTGGTAAAGGCATGCAATAAAATTAAATATGCAGTTTTAGCATGCTGGCATTTAAAGAATGGATATGCCCCTGTAAAGACAGTAGACATTAAAGTACGCAAAAAATGACAGGTGTATTTGTAGCCATAAGCTAAAATTTGTGACTAACTGGCTGTCATGAACCTTTCAGAACTTTGATGAGTCAGAGAACCATTTCCCTATATCTTTCTCAAAATGAAAAAAAAAGAAAGAAATTGTTCATGAAACCACAGCAATTAATGGCACTACAAAAAAAGAAAGAAAAATTTAAAACAAAGGTTTAAAAGGAAGACCATTTCAGTTAAGATATCTTCAAAATGCCAAAAATAATAGTTAATTTCACTTAAGACCTATGTGATTTTAAGAGGTAATACTACAAATATAGGTTTTTGCCTAATGTAAGTTAAAACATAGACATATGGAGATTATCAGAGGTGGAAAGAACCTCTATTCCACCTTTTTCATTATAGCTGATGCAATAACTTTCCATTCCACATTTTTAATTTAACATAAACTTTTAGAAAAAGAAACTGGTAACTTTCTATTGACATTCTTATGCTTTACCTGTGCTTACATATAAATTTCAAATAAAATAAGCCTGTGTAAATCTGTTTCTAAAAACTCCATAGTATAAATGATAAAGCTTAACTATATATCATTTAAAACGAGTTAAATGTTACCAGAGCTTGGGAAGCAGTACAGGGTCATTCTGGTTATGTCATTTCTGGAGAAGATCAGTTAAGGCAATTGCAACTACTGTATCAGAATTTTCAGTAAATCCAGTCAAATTCGCATGGGTCTCTTTTTGTAAAGGGCACATAAGTCAAGGATGCTTGTACAGAAGTTCAAGAATATAGGTGATTGTGTAATTTTTAAGAAACGAAGCATTTGCATTTTCTTAGCCAAAAGGATACATCTGGTTTTATTAAGTAATTATTATGGGACCATTTTTTTTTGGTTCTCTTTTGGGAATGCACCTAATAATAATGGTACCTTCATGTTTGGAATACATAGAGAATTACAGAGACCAACAGTGCAGAAACAGAATAAAATTCGCCGTTCAAGTTATAAAAGGAACTACAAACCGTCTCTTTCTTGATGGTAAAAATAAGAAGAGGAAGGTCCACTGACCAAACTGTAAGGATTTGCTTTAGAAACAGGTAAAAAATGGTAGTATTAGAATACAAGTTTAATTGTGTTTGTTTTCCCACTAAATGAAATTAATTCTGGGCCCATTAATCAATAAAAATATACTGCTACATAGCACATAGAAGGCATTGTATGCTAAGTACTTAGATACAAAAGTGAATCCCTTCTCAAAGGAATAAAAACCAACACTCTGTACTGAAGGTGGAATAAAAGGTCAATTATCTGAGGGAAGTAAGGATAGAGTTTCCAGCTATTACATTTTAATCATGAACCAAACTAGTATTGTTTTGATTTTAATTTTATTTTGAATGTCTGCAGTCTAATAGACTTCATGCCAAGCTGAAAAATGATATCGTTTCTATTTTTAATGCACTCATACGCTACAAAAAAAAAATGTTTGAAGAATGAATATATAGAAGAGATAGTTTAAAGTGACCTTTCTCTGAAGAAAAACAAATGTCATGCTTTTCACAATCTGCTGTCCCTCAAGCAGGAAGAATAATACATAAAAAGATTAAGTTGAAAATAAGTTGAATAATAATAAAGCTGAATAATGTATAAATATATAATAAGTTGAATAATAATGCATACATAATAAGGCATACGTTGAATAATACATAAAATAAAGAAGGGAGAAGCAAGATGGTGGGAGGAGGGTTTGCTGATATATCTTTTGGTGGGAAGGAGGCAGAAGTTTGCTGGTAGCTACTAAGAAAGAAACACAGGCCAGGGAGGACTTCAAATCAAACACAGAAATTTCAATTTGATTTAGAAAGTAGCAATTTACAAGAGAATTGATTTTCGAAGCATAAAAACTTTCCAAAAACTCAATTATTTTTCTGTTTCCATCCCCTTTTCACTTGTACCTGGTTGAATTAAGCATTTCCTTCCTCACCCCTTCTCCAGGCCTTCCTTACCACCCATGACTCATTATATAAACAGCACCTGGAATCATATCCTTCAAATGATATCTTCCTCTTTGTAAGATCTACCATGTATCACATTTTATTTATTTTTTTCCTTGTCATTCTGTTTTATTTAAACTTTAGCTAAGCTAATTTGCCATGGCCTCCACGGGGAGCAGGAGGAATGTGTTTCTAACTCTATGCCATTCCTTAAATATGACATTCCCCTAGACTAGAATACGAGGTCTCTCTAACCCCTGATTCCAACTGTAGAACAATATTTTATCCATTGAACAAACACATTTTCTCCTCAAGTAATCCCTCCTGGGAAATTTTGAGATCTAGATTTCATTTATGATTTTGTATTTGTATCTTACATGACTTGATGGTTTTTTCATTATTATTATTTTTTACTTGTACTAACCATTGCATTTTTTTTTTTTAAAAAAGTTAACTAAAGGTTCATCTCCTAAAGAAGATGATTTTATCACAGACACAAAAAGATGTGGAGGCTGAAAGAATAGACTACTTGGGAAAAGAACAGGAAAAAAAATCCAGGATTGAAAGAAAGAAGAGGTGAAGGAGGAACTGTGTCTAGGCAGCTTATTTTAGAATCTCTTGCTCGTAAAAAAAGCTGTATGGTGGAATGATGACTAGTAGTGTAGGATAAGCAAAACATCCATAGCCAGTACATCTTAAAATTCATGTTCCACAAATAGATATCACCAGACAAGAAGTAATTAAATGTATTAATAAAGTGAAGAGAAAAAACAAAATCAATCACTGAGTTCCTGATAAGGGTGAAGATCTATGGCTATGCATAAGGTTCAAGATGCAAAACAAAATCACCTGGTCCCTGTCCTGGTGATCCTCACAGTTCAGCAGCAAGAGCAGACATTAAAGGCAATGTTTGTTAAATAATTG